GTGCATCCTTTACAGACTTTGACTTGTTTGTGAGGTGCTACTTTAATCCAGCAAGGATGTTGTTTCTTCTTTTATGTATGCAGTAAGGAATGAAAAACACTTGCACATAATTTACAATTTCCTAAACCTTAAGGATAATGACCAAGCCTAACTCAGACACACAGAGAAAAAGGTTGATCAGTATTCATACATACAGCACATTGGATAAGGGAAAAAAAGAATTAGATTCTAAGTAGAAAATAATAATAGATTAAGAAAAACTTATATAAAAATAAGTAAAAAACCCAGGAGAGGATCAATAGAAGACTCCCTTGGCAAGAAGTGGAAACCAGTGATGGCAAACATAGACCTATGGGGTAAAGTCTGACCCTCATAGTTTCTGAGGACCACCTTGTATTCTGACCAACACCTGTGGGTTTACAGTGATGTCCCCTCACAGTGTTTCTGATCAAATACATACATGAGTCTATCATCTGATGTTGGGATCTTCAGTAGTAAGGAAGTGCGGATCTATGGTGGATCTCTTATTGTTTGCTCTGGATTTAATAGCTGGATTATAGCTTCACCTTCAACACCCAATGTGGAAATGGTCCAATAATGAAATTACATGTAGCCTTATGAAGCAGAGGATATGGTAGCTTGCAAAAGTGAGTAGGGATAAAGAGCATGTGAGGGACAATGACTGTGAGGGCTTTAGTAGTCCAGGTTCTGAATCCTGCATCTGTATATGGTACAGGACACCAAGGAACAAGGAGCATCAACATCATTCATAAACCAGAAACCCCATTCCCAGATCTCTTTCCTGAGATGCCTGTGTTTACTATGAAGTCACCTCACTGTGTGTTTCACACAGTAATACATGGTACTGTTTTCTGTTCATTTTCAGATATAGAACTTCTTGTCATTAACTCTGAAGACGAGGAATCTGCCTTTCACTGATGCATTGTCTTCTACTGTGTAAATTGTGGCTTTGTTGCTAGTAAAAGCATCCCATTCCAGTCCCTCCCCATAGTTTTGTTGGATTCACATAATGTAGTAATCACTGACTAATTACAAGACAGCAATCATAGAAATCACAGGAGAGTTTCTGGCCCATGCAGGCTGCGTCAAATGACTTCTGGTCTCCACCAACTGCACCTCACGCTGGACACTTGCAAACACAGAGAAGCTTGTTCAGAAAGCTGTCACACTTGCGCACTTTTCCTCTCACTCTTGTCCACTCACACACTCAGAATCTCTCATTCTCCGTAAAGCAACTTTTAAAAGAGCAACAGGGTAAACCCAGCTCCACCCCAACTCCATGGCCAGTGGCCCATGTTTAGTGCTGATCATTGAATGGGATCAGCTGGAAATCCAGAGCTGGGCTCCTCTCCAGAGATGCAGGACAAGGGATGACCTGGTTTTTATGAGAAGAGGGAGGCTCTATTTGCATGTCTTCCTACCATATAGAATGATCTAGGTGGAAATCTCAGTGATGAAAGTGCCCAGAGAAGATGTGAAAATTCATAGCCTAGTGTGGCAGAATGACAGCATTTTAAAGAAGAATTAATGAAACCAAGATCACAGATTTCTGCTCCTATATCTCTATCCACTTTGAGTTTCATGATTGACTAATGATTGCACATAAACTTTAAATACGTGGAACAACTTTTGCAAAGGGTGCTGTGAGCATCTTGACCTTGTGTCTTCCTCTCAGTCAGGCAGGTCAGGTAGTTCACTCCTTATCCTCCACCCTCTCCTTCAGCTTGGTCAAAATCATAGTTATGGAACCCTGTCAAATATTACAGCTTTCTCAGATGCTGCATGGCTTTACACCCAGGCCTAAAACTCTTGACAGAAGTCTAGATTCTCACTGAGTCATCAGAAATATTCCATCAGATATAATGTTCTTATTTCCAGAAATTTCTGCACAGCTTCACTGTTTGCTCACTGGTCTTAAACAGGGAACAAGTAGAATCATGGCCTAGGAGAGAAGAGGAGGTCACCTACTCACTTAGTAACGCTGTCCATAGTTGTGTGTCATTGCATTGTATTTAACAGACCACTGGCTCAAGTAAAAGAATATTGAATATTTAATTAACAAAATAACATGCTTTAATATTAGACATATTTAAGATGTAACATTGTAATTTTTAATGGAACAAACACGTGGAAAGTATGTGGAATGATATCAAGAGTAAAGAAAAATACCTTGCATAGTGGATGAGGATTTCCCTCATTGTTACTAGTACCTGATCATCAAAAGATATATTGGCTCCTCACTCTGCAGGTTCCAGTCCATGATGGGAAGACCAGAGCATCCAGTCATTTATAGCAGTGACAGAAAGCAATGGCAGTGAATGTGTGAGGAGGAAAAAAACCCTCATATCATGTCCAGGAATTGAAAGAGAGAAAGGAAGAGACCAAACCTCACAGCCACATTCAGAGAAAACACCCAGTGAACAAAAACCTCTAGACCCCACTTCATATATTTTCACAAAACCTATAACAACAGGTTGGGGAAAACACTTTAGCACAAGGGACTTTGGGAGACTTTCAGATACACATGTAGGCATAGAACAATGTTAATATGAAGAAAAATGTCTTACCTGAATTTAATGCTACATAAAATCACTGATATACTAAACTAATGCCTGTATAATTTATGGATGAATATTAAGAAAAGCCCATGTACAATAAATAAATCAAAGTTACAAAACAGTTTATCTAAGAAGACTAAACTATTGGCCCTTAGAATAAAGCCAGTCCTCCATGTTTGAGAAGACCTTACCTGTGCTGACCTCACCTGTACATAGAACACTCCACACCATAGGCTGCCTCAACCCTTATGGATCTTGGACATCGGTGCCTCCTCAGAGACTTGAACCATTGAAACCACATCCATTTCTTTTATGCTTTTACTGTGAAAAATCAAGACAGACACCAAGACAGAGAAAAACAGTCATCTGCTTGAAATCTGGGGGCAAGGCTCTAAAATCCCACTGACAGAAAAGCACTTCCATGAACAATGGACAACCTACATGATGATTAATCAGCTCTCATTAGACACCTGTGCAACATTGCTTATTGCACATATATCTGTGTAACACTGAAAATGGAATTGGATGAAAATCAGGTGCAATTTCAGATGCTTGGCTGTGACATAAGCTCTAGTCACTGAAGACAGAGGTAAACGTTCAACAAGCACATTCCTGACCATTGTCTTCACACACACCCTCATTGTCTATCTACCACTGAGTTCTGAAGCTGGGAACACTGGAAATCCTCTAACTTGAGCGGTGAGCTGTGGGAGGTGCACTGTGATCGGCAGTCTTTGGGCTCCACATGAGGCAGGGCTGCCTACAATGGATCCTGTGTGACCTGTAATCATATGTGTACATGATCAAGGACCCTGTTGGGTGTAACACATCTCCCTGTAGTGTCCATGGAAGAATGGACATGTGAGATGGGACTTAGGGGATGATGGGTTTGGTTCCTTGAGGACATAATTTCCAATGATCTCTTTTACCACTGGAGATGAGGGGAAAATGGCAGGAATGGACAGTACTCCCATGGACATCTAGGTTTAATGACCACTTTATCTGAATTTAGATGTAAAAAGAGAGGAGATGTTGGAGTTTGATCCTTTGGCATATTCAAGACAGGGATAGTGTGCAGGAAGCAGGATTACATCCATCTGGTTCTCATTATCCACTTGGATTCTCCATGTGGAAGCTGAGGAACTGGACTCAGTTTAAATACCCCAGGGATGCTTTCAGAAACCCCACCTGAAAAGACACAGCAGGGATGGCAGAGGTCTTCATCTCTATGCTTGTCTTTTTGCCTTTTCCTGGTAATCTGAGAGCTGTGTTTCTCAGCTCTTCTGGAATCCTTCTCCATCCAGGGGCCTCAGTGATGAATAGAGAAATGAAACTCTGAGCACAAGAGATGCAATGTGCATGTGAGCATGGAGACAACAGCCAAGAGCACAGGGACCTAGGCAGATGGTTGTGGACTCACACTGCCCACCTAAGACAGGTGTTCTTCTGTGTGAGAGAAGGGGCTCAGGTAAGGGCATTGTGGAGTATGCTGGTGACTGGTCCTATCTATCCAAACCAGAAAAAAAATCACTTCATCGTTTACCGAAGATAAAGACACCCATCCTGGTTTTGAGAATAGAGACTACATTCTCCAGTTTTAGAAAGACAATGAATAACAGAGGGAAGTGAAGAAAGAAACTCCAGAGGAGAAGGTGGATTTGTTGAAACAGACAATCTGAGCAGTTCTCTGTGTGTTGGGTCCATTTATTTATGAGAATAGGGTGAGATTTAAATGCATCCTGTTTGTTTCCCTCAGCCTGGGTTTCTCTCTGGTGAATCAGTGTGAATTCTGCAGAATATCCTTAATCATGAAATTCCATGGAGTTGGATTTTCTGAAGGGACTGGATCCCCTGAGTTTTGGATCTGGTCCAGGTGACCAGGTGGTCATTCCTGTTTCCATAAGTGACACGTTAGAATTTGTGCAGCTGAGAATGTGTATGTCTCTAAAGATAAAGGTTTTTATCATTGCATGCAATAATTATAAAACTAATGTTTTCATTGTGGTGTTTTAGTATGTGAATATAATGTAATCTGCTCCTGTAGACCCCATTACACCCTTTCCATTTCTCTATCACTTCTCCCTGATTCCATTCACACTTTTTTGGGGAGACTCCCCTCCACCCTCATGTCATCGTTCATTTAAAATTTTTTTGACCCTAGGTTCTATTTATAACCTTAAACATGCAATTCTTATCTTTCTTAGTCTGGCTTCTTTCCCTTAAAGAAGCACAAAATACCACATATAAAAACAATATATTCCTCTTTAGTAATATCAAAGGAAAGCACAGAAACAGGAAACCAGAATCTCCTTTGAGGAAGAGTCCTGTGGAGGGAAACCCAGACCCTGACAGGAAACATCACTTAACTCCCTCTGCACCTGCACATGGCTGATCCTGACCTCAGTGTGTCCTGCGCGCCCCCTACTGGTTGTGCGCGTCCCTGCAGGTAGGTTTGTGCCTGGGCTCACACTGAAGTTCACACACTGTGTCTTTTGCACAGTAATATGTAGCAGTGTAGTCGTCTTTCAGGCTGTTAATTTGCAGATACAATGTGTTTTTGTTATTGTCTCTGGAGATGGTGAATCTGCCCTTCACGGAGTCTGCATAACTTGTGCTACCACCACTACCACTAATGTATGAGAGCCACTCCAGGCTCTTTTCTGGAGCCTGGCGGACCCAGTGCATAGCATAGCTACTGAAGGTGAATCCAGAGGCTGCACAGGAGAGTTTTAGGGACCCCCAGGCTTCACCAAGCTCCCCAGACTCTACCAGCTGCACCTCACATTGGACACCTGCAAACACAGAAAATTCTTGTCAGGAAACTGTCACATATACTACTGTTCCTCTCACTCATGTCCACTGGCACATTCAGCATCTTGTTTCTCCACAAATCACCTTTTAAAATAGCAATAAAGGAAAATCCAGCTAGCCCCAACTCCATGGTGAGTGGTCTGTTTCAGTGCTGATCACTGAATGAATCAGTTAGGAATCCAGGGCTGGGCTTCCTCTTCCAGAGCTGTAGGGTCAGGTGGGGCTGAGAGCAGAAGGAGGCCTTATTTGCATGTCCTCCTGCTATAAAAAGCTCTGGGTGGAAATCCCTGAGAGGTAGTGTAAGAGCAGATCTGAGAGTCCTGGTAGAGATTCTGACAATGAGTAAATTAAAGAAGAGTATACTTAGTGGTAACCAGTTGTAGGGGCAATGGGAAAAGGACAGAGACAATGGGGTGAAAAATACTTTATACTCATGTATGAATATAAAGTAATAAACATGTTAAAATTGTTTAAAAATAGGGAATGGATGATCAGATAGAGTAATAGAGGGGTAAATTTTGTTGAACTACATTATATGCATGCTTATAAATACAAATGAATGCCTTTTAACCATTAAAAACATTAAAAAATTAAAGAAAATGTGAAGTCTCATTATATGATTATTAACATTATGAACTCATCTTTTTAAATGTTTTGCACATGCAAAAAACTTGTCATTGAAACATTAAATTTATCTTCTTTTAAAACATGTGGAAGTATAAAAATGACTATAAATGTTTCTGGAATGTGCATAGGATTTTGACAATAAGATAACCCATGTATATGGCTCTGTGATTTTTACAAGATCCACACAGTGCTCCGAAGCAACCCCTTGTTCAGAGTGAGGCACACCTGGTGAGGAGTGCAGAAATCCCTTTCTGGATGAGCACAGGTGTGACTTTCCTGCATTCTAGAGTTTCGTGAAAAAACAGAGAACCAGGGTCAGGCAGATGCATGATTGTGTGTATCTGGCATCTCATGTCACTGTGTATTCTCAGTCAATTTTTATACATTGACATATGTGGTCATGTAGAAACTTACTGGTTTTACACAGGATGTAATAAACTGTATTTATACAGAGCACATTTGATGTGCTGACAAATGGACATTGTTTACCATCAGCACAAATGGGAACCCATTTCTATCTCACGTGTGTCCTTCGGTTCTCGTAATCCTCCTTACACCTTCTCTCCAATCCTATCTGCAAAGAGCTCATGACATTTATGTTTGTTTTAAATTGTCTTCATTTTCACAATTTTATACAGCTATCAATGAATTATAATCTGAATTTTTTCATTTTTTAAATAGTAATGTTTATTGAAAACACTCTGTTTGTTTTCTGCTCAATAATTTCACAATAGATGAAACATTGAAACTAACTTTTGTCTACAGGCCTGCTAATGGGTTTGAGATAATTTTTTACGTTTCAGTTTAGTCTTTCATAAGCTGTTATTTAGCTTGGAGAGAACTGACAAAAGTTTCCTTCTATTCTGACAGCAAAGACAACAACATATTGAACAGGACTATCTTCCAAACAACAACTTAACACAAATACTTGACTTCACAGGACAAGGTGACACACAGAGGACATGGACCATGAGGACTTGGATTTCTGCCTTGGGATGTTCACAACACTGTCCTGCCCTCAGTTCCTGCACTCCACATCAGCGATCAGAAGTAGTATCTCTATGGCAGAGCTCACCAGACACCTTATGAAGAGATGTAGGTTACATTAGATGTTGTTTATGGATTACTGCAGGCCAAGTGTGCCAGGGAAATCTTTGTGTGAATATTCCATGGTGCAAGAAACTCAGGGGGGTTTTGTACCTTTTCACTGCAACACTGAAAGACTTTACACCTTGTGACCTACAAAAGGAACAGTTTTGTCTCTCATGTCTCTGCAACTGAGAAGTTCCTGAACAAGCCAATGGCAGATTTCTTGTAGGTCAGTGCTGGCTCCCTGTGTTCAATTTTCACAATATTTGTGTCTTCACATGGCAGAAGACAGGTTCACTGTGTCTTCACATTTCATAAGGAAACAAAACAGGTCTGTTTCCCCTCACAAGCCCTGTTACAGGACTGCTAATTCCATATAAGAAAGTATTTTTCCATGGACTAAATTCACATTGCTGTAGGGGATGGATGCACAAGCATGGCAGCCTTAACTATAGTCTGCTGTGTGCACATGACACAGGGGCCTTATGCATGTGAGCAGGTTTCCACAGCTCTTCATGGCTGATTTTGCATAATGAAGCCTGTGCAGGGCTGGTTTTTAGCAGCATTATCATCCCCAAATGTTCTCTATATATTTTCCAGGTGAGACCCTCTGATTGGTCCTAACCCTACAATTATGGCAGGCATTTTCTCTGTGGAGGCTCTCTGTACTGTATCCTCCTTAGTCATTAAGGCTACATGACCATCCTTTGAAATCTAGAAGGAGGATTCCCTATACTAGCAGCTCTAGGATTTGCTGACCAGCAGATGAGCACCACATGGGCACCATCAAGGTTTTTGGGTTGTGACTCTGCAAAGACAACTGTCAAAGTCCACACTGTACCTGGACACAGTGGAACCTCAAAGCAGGAACTTTGGTCAGTGGTATGGATCAACTGCCTTGGATCCAGCACAATGAACCATGAATTCACACAAAGTGCTCTTAGCCCTCTGCTATGCTGTTGTACTTTCATAATTCTGTTCTATGGTATTGTGATGGGGTGACAGCTTCTGAAAGTTGTTTGGGTGAATCTCTGATTATCCTGATGAATAGGCCCCTGTGTCCTTCTGTCCACACCAACCTAGTCATCACCAGTTCCCTTAGCCATGGCCTGCGTGATCTCTTCCACCATGATTTCCCTTCCCACCATTCTTTACTATGTGTCCAGGCTGATAATTTTCCATATCTTTAAGTTTGCCTTCCATTTGGCTTAAATTCTATGCTTGTCCTGTCTCTCTTATTTGTTTGATACAAGCAGTTGGGGAACAGTATCATCTACTCTTCTGTGTTAGAGATTCTCTCTGTCACATTGCTGTCACACTGGCTTAGATTCTGACACCTACAGTGTACTAGGACTTGAAACACTTTAGCCATGCCATGTGTCATTTTATACCAAGGAATTCCTGTCCTCCAGATTCCAATAGCCTTTCCTCACTTCCATCTCAGACCTCACCAGAACCACTTCATCAAATTTTTGCCCATATCTGGATAACGATCATCTAGTATATCATGGTTATTCCTCAACTCACATAGATTAACTGTAAATGATGAGCCACACATAAAGCCATAGTCCTCATAAGAATGTAATTGACCTTGAAAAATCCTTGCAAGGATAAATCATTCTATGTAGGAAAGCTTCTTTGCTGGGAAGGATGGCTGTCAGCATGTGCATCCATTAGAAGATACACAGTCAGTGCCGCTTTCAATGTTTTTAAGGAAATGATATCAATTTTCCTTGTGTTGATTATGCAGCTTACCTTTGAATCCTTTCTGATCTGGACCTCTGAGAATCCACACTGACTTCTTGGCCATTTCTTCTCTGTCCATCATGGCTCCCTGCCAGTCTCTTGGGTGACACAAGGCTATGTGCAGACACTTTGGTATAGTTTTTGAAATTCTTCACAGCAGTAGCTGATGACAAGTCTTTCAGTCTATCAGGTTGTCATGGCAGTTTCATATTAAACACCTTTCAGGTTCAGGCAACCCAATCAGCAACTTAGTCCACATTTTCCAGGTGTGCTGGTGGAAGGATGAGTGATGAATATGCTTGGGAAGTATATAAAGGCTCAGTGTTACTCATTAATATTCCTCTTCAAGAATCTATTGGTGAAGGATGGGCAGCTGCATCTGGAC